GTCTCTTGCTACAATACATCACATCATTTCACCTAGCCGGTCTCTTGCTACAATACATCACATCATTTCACCTAGCCGGTCTCTTGCTACAATACATCACATCATTTCACCTAGCCGGTCTCTTGCTACAATGCATCACATCATTTCACCTAGCCGGTCTCTTGCTACAATGCATCACATCATTTCACCTAGCCGGTCTCTTGCTACAATGCATCACATCATTTCACCTAGCCGGTCTCTTGCTACAATACATCACATCATTTCACCTAGCCGGTCTCTTGCTACAATACATCACATCATTTCACCTAGCCGGTCTCTTGCTACAATACATCACATCATTTCACCTAGCCGGTCTCTTGCTACAATGCATCACATCATTTCACCTAGCCGGTCTCTTGCTACAATGCATCACATCATTTCACCTAGCCGGTCTCTTGCTACAATGCATCACATCATTTCACCTAGCCGGTCTCTTGCTACAATACATCACATCATTTCACCTAGCCGGTCTCTTGCTACAAAGCATCACATCATTTCACCTAGCTGGTCTCTTGCTACAATGCATCACATCATTTCACCTAGCCGGTCTCTTGCTAGTGCTTTTATTTGGCTTTTAAAGAGAAAGAATTTTTTATCCACATTATCCTGCAGGTCCAAACTATACATCACATCATTTCACCTAGCCGGTCTCTTGCTACAAAACATCACATCATTTCACCTAGCCGGTCTCTTGCTACAATACATCACATCATTTCACCTAGCCGGTCTCTTGCTAGTGCTTTTATTTGGCTTTTAAAGAGAAAGAATTTTTATCCACATTATCCTGCAGTTCCAAACTATACATCACATCCTGGTCTACCCGTGGGCCGGCGACTACCGCTGCCAGACTACGAAGCAGCTACAACTATGGCCCGCAGACAGCAGCAGCAGCAAAACCTCAGATCGTACTCGCACGACAACAACGTTTACATCGGAGCAGGCCACGGGGCAGTTGCAGGGGATGGGGGCTATGATATCCCACCAGTTGAAGGTGACATTTGGAATCATTGGCACTCACTTGACATTTGTACACATCCCGTACCTTCCTTATAAACTGTGACCTGGCATTTGTACAGGTTGTGACATCACATACATTCCTTATAAACTCTGACCTGGCATTTGTACATGTCCTGACACCACATACATTCCTTATAAACTCTGACCTGGCATTTGTACATGTCCTGACACCACATACATTCCTTATGTACTCTCACTTTATCTGTATACATCATGTTTTAATTATATCTATCTGTTAGACATTTTAGTGGTTCTCTTTAATTAAAGTTTAATGGTTAATTAAAATATTGCCGTTGTGCAGGTGTCCTGGGGGGGTTAAGAGCCGATGGTGAGGAGTCGGTGGGGGAGGGCGGGGGGTAGTCAGTTGGCTTTGGACCCACAGATGGCCATGGCTTTTCAGGGTTTGCTTTAAAAGATACTTAAATTAGCAGCAAATGATTTGGGTTTTTTTTTCTTCAAGTTACATTACATTTCTCCTATTTCATTTCGCTTTAAAGTTAATTTACATTTCTTCTTTTTCATTTCAGGAGTTGATGAAGAGCAAGTGTCAGCGGTCTAGTCATGTCTCATGCAACACGTTCTTCCCACAAACTTCAATAAATGTATATACGAGACACAGGGATAAACACATATTTTGTATGAAAGATACAAGTTTTTGCAAAGAGTTAAATTATAAGTTTGTTTGCGAACAGTTGTCTGACTGCTGCAAAGCTGGTGCCCTTCATCTCTGTCTACATGGTGCTACAGTTTTGAGGAGATCATTATCTGACAGAGGTCTTAATGGGATTAACTAGGTCTTCATAAAAACAATCTGATGGGCTGAAGGAGATCACAACTGACAGCGGATAATTGGCAGAGAAAGACTAATAATGTTCTGATTTTTTTCAAGAAAAAAACTATTTTAATTCTGTTTGAATTGTTTTAATTAATATTGATAATGTTGACGGATTCTCAGACCTCGGCTGCCAGGATGTGTGCTTAAATGGAAACGAGTCTTGGCAAATATTTTTGTGTTAGTTTTACATTTTAAGAAAAGCAATCCTCTTGACCGAGCTTGAAACTAATGGGTGGTCCAAGTTGGGTGGCTATGACGGAGTGGTCTGCGGTCCAAGTTTGGCTATGACGGAGTGGTCTGTGATCAATGGTTTGTGATTGGATGCTGTTGAAGCTATGTATTATAAATGGTTGATATAAGAAGCATTTCATGAGTAGTTTTTATAAGAGTCACTTGTATAAGAGTCTGAGAATGGTTGGTGTTTTAAGGGAAGTGTTACTATGAACAGTTTTTATTGAGGGTCCTGTCGTATGGGTGGTTTTGAATTGTTTTTACCAGAGTAATTTCTTTTGAATGGTTTATATTAAGAGCAATATCTTAAAAAATGCTGTGGCTTTTTTAGAAATGCTGTGGCTTTTTTAGAACAATGTATTATAAATGAATTGTTTTAAAAGAGACGTATTGTGAAATATTTTTTAAAAAATGTCTTTTTAATTGCGTTGCTTAAAGAGCCCTAACTGTGCTCTAAGCTGCACAGCACCTCAAATACACTCTGCACTAGGCTGCACAGCACCTCAAATACACTCTGCACTAGGCTGCACAGCACCTCAAATACACTCTGCACTAGGCTGCACAGCACCTCAAATACACTGCACTAGGCTGCACAGCACCTTAAATACACTGCTGAGTCAATATCTTACAAATCCTTGACCTCCTAAGGAAAGTTAACACTTTGAAGTGAGTTTTGATTGTAAGGAGATACTTTCTGTTCTGTGAACAAACCATGATAAAGGCATCCACTGCAGATTATCAACTCAGCACATCAATGGTTTCACTGCATGCAGCACATGGGGTCAATCATGTAAAAACAATGGCATATATGACACCCACTGCTCATCAAATCAATTCTATTACCACAATAGCAACATCAATCAAGCTGACATCCACTGTTCATCAACTCACCTTAATTACTACCATAGCAACATCAATCAAGCTGACATCCACTGCTCATCAACTCACCTCAATTACCAGCATAAGATCGTCAATCAAGCTGACATCCACTGCTCATCAACTCACCTCAATTACCAGCATAAGATCATCAATCAAGCTGACATCCACTGCTCATCAACTCACCTCAATTACCAGCATAAGATCATCAATCAAGCTGACATCCACTGCTCATCAACTCACCTCAATTACCAGCATTAGATCATCAATCAAGCTGACATCCACTGCTCATCAACTCACCTCAATTACCAGCATAAGATCATCAATCAAGCTGACATCCACTGCTCATCAACTCACCTCAATTACCAGCATAAGATCATCAATCAAGCTGACATCCACTGCTCATCAACTCACCTCAATTACCAGCATAAGATCATCAATCAAGCTGACATCCACTGCTCATCAACTCACCTCAATTACCAGCATAAGATCATCAATCAAGCTGACATCCACTGCTCATCAACTCACCTCAATTACCAGCATAAGATCATCAATCAAGCTGACATCCACTGCTCATCAACTCACCTCAATTACCAGCATAAGATCATCAATCAAGCTGACATCCACTGCTCATCAACTCACCTCAATTACCAGCATAAGATCATCAATCAAGCTGACATCCACTGCTCATCAACTCACCTCAATTACCAGCATAAGATCATCAATCAAGCTGACATCCACTGCTCATCAACTCACCTCAATTACCAGCATAAGATCATCAATCAAGCTGACATCCACTGCTCATCAACTCACCTCAATTACCAGCATAAGATCATCAATCAAGCTGACATCCACTGCTCATCAACTCACCTCAATTACCAGCATTAGATCATCAATCAAGCTGACATCCACTGCTCATCAACTCACCTCAATTACCAGCATTAGATCATCAATCAAGCTGACATCCACTGCTCATCAACTCACCTCAATTACCAGCATTAGATCATCAATCAAGCTAACTTTTATTTCCAGTAGTCAAGTTGGCTTCCTTGTCAATTCATTGAATTTGCAGACAAGCACAGGACACATGCAGAATGCAGACAAGCACAGGACACATGCAGAATGCAGACAAGCACAGGACACATGCAGACAAGCACAGGACACTTGCAGAATGCAGACAAGCATACGACGCATGCAGACAAGCACAGGACACATTCCATGCCTTAACCATGTTGTTGATTCAGTTTTTTTTCCAATGATGAATCAGAGAGAAGGGAATGCATACATGCTAAGGGCCACAACTAAAGCATCAGTGCTCTGCAGTTCCTTTCACCACTTTGCCAAGGTTGGCAGTGGATACTTATAAACCATATCATTTTAGAATCACATATATATATATACCATACCATTTTAGAGTCACATCTTGCTTATCACATATGTAAACTTCATCCCCAAAACCGAAAGATGTAGATGTTGAGACAGAGAGCAATATTGAGTTGATGTTACTAATTGTTACAGCCTAGAGTGTTGGTAAGAATGTGGTGAAAGATTTGCTAAGATTAAATTGAAATAAGTAGACTACCAAAACCTTTGTGTGATACTGCTACTCCTGAGCTAACTTGACACCCCCACCCCACACACATGAACCTGTATCCTATGAGTTGCCCTTTGAACAATTTGGTTTTTCCAAAATTGTGGTTCTCAAAAGGTGATCATCATAACCTTTTTTTTTTTTACTTAGCCAATAATTATTTTTAAATACCCGGTAACCATGTTATGTAACTAGGGATCCTCTGACTTTTAAATACATTATGGTTTCATTTTAAGATTTTGATGAAATAACAACATCAAAATGTTATTGATTACACAGCACAATGTTTCATACAACATATCAAGTGAAGTGCACTATCAGTCTCAAGTAGTGCACACCAAAGACGAAAATGTTGACTTGTGTACTTTTTTTTTAAAATGTTAACTTCAATTTTTAAAAGTTTGTGCCCCATTGCTCATGTCATTTCCCCCCCCAATCAAACAGAATTAAGTTGAGAACCACTGTGGCACAGAGTGCCTGTAAATAGCTTGTGTAGAAATGTTATATAGGTCTGTACAAAGTTAGAACTTTGATTCACACTTGACTGTTTTTAACAATGCCCTTGTTGCTAATAAACAGAGCCCTCCTTGAGCCTGTCTCCTATGTGTTAACTAGTTCCCCTTGTAGAGCTGCATTCCTCCTCTGTGTTGACTAGACATATCCCCCCCCCCTTCCAACTTTACAGAGCTACACTCCTCCTGTGTGTTAACACACTTAGCTGCACTTGTCCAGACTATATTTTAGCCTGACACCTTCGTAGAACCAGCCTCCTCGTGTGTGTTAGAACAAAAACCCATGTTCACTAAAGCCCGCATGGACCCCAGGCTTCTGCCCTGACAATGGGTTAGCCCAGGGCTCTGCAACCTTTGTTTTCAGTCAGGAGAGCCGCAGGCAGGGGGACTTGGTTTAAATCTCATTAATTTAAAGATTAGCTTGAAATTTATTTATTTTTTAAAAGAGCTGCATCTTTTCCTTGACAGAGAAAGCTGTCACTGGGCTGCCAGCCACTGACACTGGATTGCCCAACCACTCTGTTAGCCGGAGACCTCCAAGCGGCCAGCCTCCCACTAATTATGTCTAAATCCCAAAGCAGCCATGTTTCCAGCCACCAATGTCGTAAGCCATAGCCGTACTTGAGCCATACTCCCCCACAATTAATACTTATGGCCCACCCTCCCCAATTCAGGAGCTTCCTCAACTCTAATGTCCTCTTGCGAACTGCTACTGTTAACTGTGATACTTGATGTTCTCCACCAAACACGTTAGAAATGTTAATTACTTAGACATTTCTTTCACCAGAAAAATAGAAGAGCAGCTCTCCAAACCTCTGTGTTAATAAATTAGGTGTACCGGTACTACATTCTTTAAAACTAACCTAAATTGAAGGGTTTTTTTTATGGGAGCCAGAACGTACCTTGTGGTCTACATGAATCAATGTGACTAACTTGAAAGTTATATACAATACTCATTTGGGGGGGGGGGGGGGGG